CCATTTCGACAAGCCCAATAGAATTCACTTGCTTCACCTGTTTGTGGATGACGAAGAATACGCTGTTCTTCTTTTATTGTACTGTCCGTATTGCCCATTATCTAAAATTATTGTGTAAGTTGTTAAAAAAATGTAGTGCACTGGTGGGATGGGTGAGTGTGTTATATTGTTCTTTCACTTACACTTATTCACGCATGCTGTCTGAATATCACATTTGGAAAAGGTATGCAAAGTCCCATTTAAAACTACTTCTTCACATGGGTTAAGTTAAAAGAAATACTTCTACACGTCGACGAATATATCTAAGATAATCGAAGGACTATTGTAAATTGTCTAATACAGTAAATGAACATGATGCTGTATCATTATGTCATAGTGAAATATAATATTTTAGTTTTTAAGTGTATAAGAAAAGTTCTTTGTTTTTTACATGAACCAAAAAATATTTGATTATATCAATTCTAAATCAAAAACATCTCGAAACTTACAGCTACTCACACTTCTTTTCTCAGCATTTCTGTTACTGTTAGCATACGTAAGACCACTGACTGAAAACGTATCTTTATTAAAAAGCTCTTTCGAAACAAAAGTATTTATTTAAGAAGAAAAAATATAAACACGTCGCTCACAACAGAAGAAACTCTCTATTACTGTTCTCTTTCTTTTTTTTATTTAAGCAGATGCGAGATACTGTTTTGCGTGGGAGCACTTACAGATAAATTTTTTTATAAGCATGAAGCAACAGTTAGGCATATAATCATAAAAGCACGCTACAGTCAAGGGCGGCGGAACGTGTTGAAATCCGGTGAGGCTCAAAAGTAGCTTTTTACATATTAGCATAAGACAATATAAATGAAGTATAGGTGATTAGCCACTGTTAGATTTTTTTTGCTATCAAAAAATTAATGCGTTTAATTTATTCCGTCTTCGATTAATAGAGTTTCTAGCTTTCTACAGAAAGATAAAGTTTTCAAAAAAAAGATGCAGATCATTTCTTTAACACTAGAATATTGAACCAAAAGAAGTTTGTCTTTTTTCGTTTAATGATATGAATTTGGACATGATTTGATTTGGATCAATTTTATCAAGTTTTTCTTTGCAAATATGTAGTAGTAAACAATGGTTAAGACATTATTGATTCATCGAAGGACGAAGTATATTTTTTATTCTATTTAATGCGCTGAATGTAGGTTCGGCTGTGGCAGTCGTAACCGGAATGGTTAGATATAATTTCAATAATTCATGATATTCTTTAAGCCTGGGATGCGGAATCCTTTGTAAAAACGAAAACTTTTCCCCAACGAAGAAAAATGAATTATGTGTTTCCCGTCAATATTCAAGTAAAATAAATATTTTTTTTTGAATCTTGTTCTTAAAGAAATGAAAAGAGAGAAGACACTACGATATGTTTAAAATATACTGTATCCTAATGAACACATCAGATCATTTATGTATAAAATAAAATTTTCATTGAAGCAAATTTCCTTATTATTTCGCGAAAGAAAAAATTTCACAGTCAATGGTTTTTCGAAAAATTTTCCTGAGCGCGCGTTCGCGCAGAAGGGCTTATTCTACACCTCTGGTTTAAACATTTGTCTACTTATTTGACATGCAGTTAAACTTTCACAAATTGTTGAAATTTTTGTGATTTGTTTTAGTTACTGATTAACAAAAGTCAAAAACTATACGAACTTCAGCTTTCAATCATTCAACATCAATATCAGACATGTATAGGTCAATGCGCAAAAAAATCAGATTCATAATTTCGGTGAGGCTGAGCCTATAGAGGCTAAATTCCGGTGAGGCTCAAGCCTCACAGAGCCTCTGGCTTCCGCCGCTCTTGGCTATAGTTGTTGCTGCGAGTTTAGTTTTTTTAACATGGTATACTTTAGTTATTGAGAACTTTAGAGACCAAAAAAAAAGAGGAGAGAATGCTCGTAAAGGCCGAGCTTTAGAAGGTAACGTACAGAAGAACGAAAAGAGAAGAAACATAAAAACAAAAGAAAAAAAAGGAACACGAAGAAGGAAAGCGTTTTTCGATAAACAGGGTGTGGGTGATTGTAGATGTAGATGTGGATGTGCATGTGGGTGTGTGAGTGTATGTATACTGCTACTACTCACATCGACATCCACACTCTCAGCTACCCACACCTATCCCCAAGTATCCTTCTGAAATTGGC